TTTTTTTTTTTTTTTTTTTTTTTGGTATGTCATTTCAAATCACTAATGATTATTTATTAAGGTACGTCATTGGATTAGAATTAAATTGTATTGATATGGGGGCCGAGGGGGGAGGTATGCTATTTCGTAGTAACTCTTACAGGCGTCTTATTTCCTTTAAGAAATTCGAAGCTGTTAATCTGTATTTGATTTCTCGATTTTTTTTTTGACTTTTCACGCTTATACGCTTTTGAACTTCGAATTCTACTTTCCACAGTCGTTGAGGTGGTTTTCAGTATGAAATATTTTTTTTTTGGTTTGACAAAATTTCTCTCCCCCCCCCCCCCTCTATTTCTCGTTTTATTGTCAAAGCCATCAAGAACGTATTACGGGAGAGAGCTACGCAGGAAGCCAGGATGAACAAGGCGGCAGGCATAATAAAGGGATGCGGGATGCTGCAAGGAGAATAGCAAGGGAGAAAAACTTATACCTGCTAAATTAAGTAGCACCCCGAAACAAACGATCTACGATCTCAGGCATTCATTTTTTCCTCTTGTAATTACGAGCTGCGAGGTATTTTTAATTTAATAAAAAATTACTGCCAACACACTGGCATTTAAGCATTAAGGCTTACGTACCTCAAGATGGTTTTTCTTTCCAAGTCATTCTCCACCAAATCAAATTTTATGTAATATATGAAAAAAAAATTTAACATGGCGAACGGTCCATGTGAAACTAGCAAATAATATCGAAGGATGAAAAAAATTTTCAAAAATTTTTTTACCCAACATTTTTTCAACCCACATAAATATACTGTTTCTTTTCTATTCGCCAGTTTTTCTTTACCGATTCCGTTATCCCTTATCCGTCTCCTTTTTCGTCTTTTTTATATATCCGTGCTAGATATTGCCAGTCCAAGAGCTTTTATCCAATACAGATTGTCATTTTACCTTGAATACCAAAAAAAAAGCTTTCAAACTTTTTCCTAGCACAGATTTTCCACATCGTTCTCCTCGAATTGCATTTTATTCTGCTATTGAGTTTATCGAATAGTCTGTCGTGTGAACAGTGCAGGTACCTCCATCCACGTGTTCAGGTATGTGAACAGGAACTAAGTTAGCTAGAGGTATTCACAATCTAGGGTAAGCCGTAAAAGCTTGAATGGAGTCTTTGCCGATTATTGTGGATAGGGATAAAATTGTGTAAAAAACATAAAAAAAAAATAATAATAATAAACAGAAAAAAAAGAAATTCATTCAACAAGTATGTCTAACGATGAAAAAAAAACCATCTGTCCAAATATTGTCACGGGAAAATAACGATTTCATAACATACGAAATTACTGAACATCTTCATACCGAGAATAAAAGGAGAAAAAGTTTTTTCTTGCCGAATACGAAAAATCTTCAGCGGTCGTATTTTTCGCCGGAATGATATGTAAATTGTCTCCGAAATTACCGCATTGAATAAACTTCTCCCCGTCACTCACCCTCGCTCCATTTCACCGTGACGCCATACCGCGTATTTACATACGTACGAGTATATTAGATACCCACCCTCTTATGTATATATATATTCGGTGAACGAATGTACATACTGTATATATGTATTATAAAATATATATACGTAAAAATTTTCTTCCAGTAAGGAAGTCACTTATATACATTTACCTACCTACTTTGCCTTACACTTTTCCCAGTTTCCCGCAAGACACGTAAATTTGATTTTAATGACGCAAGCAGCTACGCACGGTAGCTCCTTAATGCCGCTTTAGATATATTTTGCGGGAATTTTTTAAAAGAATCTAGAAAATTTTCCAAGACACACAAATATCAAGTGTTTACGGTGCAGTTTAACTGTCAAAAGGTAGCAATGTAAATTTTTGAAAAAAAATGCATTAACGATGCACATCATCAAACAGTACCGGTCGACTCGATTAACCTTGCAATCCTATGTGATTTCGCGTTGAAGTTAATATACATGTATGACAATTAAAACAAGCAAGGTCGAGTCGCAATACACAGAGAATACGAATAACATGCATCGAGTGCTCTGTAAATGAATCCCTAGAAAAACAAACAGACTCGTAACCACGTGATAGAAAAAAAAAAAATAAATTAATTTCTTATACAAACTCAGGTAATTTTTTTATCAAGGAAAAATATTTCTTTCCAGCACTGCAATTTTTCATGAGCAATATAGGCATTGCCTGGTAACCCCAAGATTTTCAATAGTCAAAAATTGTCTACGTTCAATTTATACTGGAATTTTACGTTGCCAAGTAGATTCTATTGATTTCCCTTGTACATTGCAAAGAGCTAACTGATCCTTATAAAATTGGCCTCGGTTGATTTTCAAGGGTCGTAACGAGGAACCACATAACTAACCGTGAAGAAAATCAGTCAGGCTTGCAGCAGCCTTGCAGGCAGGTAGGCAAATTCAGCCAACCGGCCTACGAACCCACGTGCGTTGCTGCAGGCTGACTCGTAATTACGTTTCGCTATCAAAACAAGGCATAATTCAACGTAACCGGCATTCAGTAGATAATCGCTCGGTTCAATGGCCGAAGCTAAGTGCACCCTCGACGTTCGGATAAACTTTGCTAGCAGATACGTATTGTTGCCGGGGTGCATCATGAAATAGATAGGGAATGCAATTAAGCCTGCGGGAGGGAGATGGGGGATGAAATAGAGAAAGGGCTGATATCGTATCCCTGCCGGACTATTAATCTAGGGTAGTGACGCGTGAGCAAGCATTTCTGAAATTTTGGCGACCATCAAACCTCAGGGCGGATTATCAAGAGAGACGACAGCGTCAATTACGTTTTCATGCAGTTTACTATTGTGCACTTCATTTTTTTTTACTGCGTATACCTATATATACCACCGTATGCAATTCAGTTAGTTTACTAATTAATGGCGGAAGCTATGAATTTCGCTTGGATAGTTTACACGTTGTTACTGATGGATTGACGTATCGGTTAGGTTTTGGGCATCGATTGATCGTATTTGCCCTGCAGGCTAACGCGCTTATTGGAGCTTAAATAATGCAGGTCGATGACCTTCGGTGCTTTTATATTTTGATCGTTTACCTTTTGTCGATATAAATAGATTGGAAAAATTTGCCTGTGATAGCTCTGATAGGAATTTGTGGACTTTTTTTTTGAGAATTTATTTAAAAAAAAAAATTCACTCGCGAATAAACTATCGACGTAATTTGTCGGCTATTTGGAAGGTTATCAAAAAGAATGATAAGAAAATTTGTTTCATTATGCAAATATTATGGAGGATGGTCGACGTCGGTGAACGAGAGAGACAGAGAGACCGAACTTCGTGTACGAAAGTACAAGAGGGGAAAAGGTGAAATGGGAGGAGCCGGTACTCGGAGAAATGTGAAAGCTTCCGCGAAAATTACCGTAACGATGGTAACAGCCGGCAAAATAAGGTCTGAACCCACGTTCAAAGTTTATCCAAGCTCATCCGCCATTCGCCAGATGGAAACGAG